CGACTACGTGGGAGTCCAGCGACATAGCCATTATGCTAACTGCTGGTTCCCAATTTTACCTTCTTTATTAAGAGACTAGTACGATCAAGAACCACTAAAAAGGGTGATTTAATATTTTCTCTTTTTTCTTTAAATTATTTATTTATTTATTTATTATTATTATATCTATTTTTAAGTTAGCTGAAGAGAAAATGTGCCCACCAGAGAGAGAGAGAGAGAGAGAGAGAGAGAGAGAAAATTCACCAGGTCCAGGACAAAGTGCAGGTGGCCATGTGGGAATCCAAGTGCCTTAATCATGACACCACCTGCTGGTCTCAGGACAAATATTTTCAAATGAACTTGTTTAAGCTGTGCGGTGAGCATCAAATAAGATATGAACAGAAATATACCATCACCACCTCTCCCAGTCCCATGGAGATGATGCCATGAGGCTTCATTGTCATCTTTGCTGTTCTTTTTTCGTAATTAATAAACATTTTTGAGATGCTTTAGGTTTACAAAAAAAACTTGAAAAACACAGAGAGGTCATATATACTCTGTTTTCCCTATTTACTCCTTGCATCGATGGGGTACATTTGTTATAACTGATGAGCCAATATTGATACACCACCATGAACGAAGTTTACGTCTGGTTTACTGAGGTTTCATTCTTGTTGTTGTACACTCTATGGGTTTTGACAAACGTAGAATGACCTAAATCCCTCATTACAGTAGCATGCAGAATGACAGTTTCACTACCCTAAAAATCCCCTGTTCATCCTTTCCTCCCCCGATCCTTGGCAACCACTGATCTTTTCACTGTCTCCATAGTTTGCCTTTTCAGAATGTCATATTCTTTCGTACAGTGGGTAGCTTTTCCAGACTGGCTTCTTTACCTTTAAAGTTATATTTATTTCCTGGAGTCTAGAGTCATAAACTACCAAATACATCTTATTTGATAAGCTGTATCCTCCTGGGGAAAATGGCTGGCATGTATGTTGCTGACAAGAGAAAGGAAAACATTCTTCTGTCATGAAGTCTCCCAATGCTGAAACTGCAGAATGACCCGTGTAGGATTTCCCTCTGGATTAAAATAACCACATTGCCCCAATCTATGGACCTCTGATGGAAATGAGGCTGGGGGCATAAAATTCAGGCAGCTATCTTCTGTGTTACTGAAACTGGAACCAAAGAACGGAGGACTTTCTGA